GAGGGCAACGGGGGGGGCTAAAGGTGACCAGGTGCGGTGCAGGGAAGGGAACAGTTTGGGGAGGCTGAACGGGGCGATGCGGGGCAGTTGGAGGAGGCTGAAGGGGGAGATGGGGGGGCAGTTGGAGGAGGCTGAAGGGGGAGATGGGGGGCAGTTGGAGGAGGCTGAAGGGGGAGATGGGGGAAGGGGACATTTGTGGGGAGGCTGAAGGGGGCAGTGGGTTGAAGGAGTCTGGGGCAGAGTCGCACTTGTGGGGGCTGCTCATCCCCATGGGAGGGGAGAAGGAAGAGGAGCTGCCCTTGTATCAGAAGCTGTTTCCTATTAGAACTTGCAACGTCACTGTTCCTGAGCAGGGTCCTGTGATCAAAGGGGACCTGCTGGGCCCAGGCTGGAAAGTGACTGCAGAAATGGCTCCTGCTCGCCCCATCTCTGCCCCGAGTGTCTGCGTGGCGCAGAGCTGCTCCCACAGCGCCCCCAGGCTCACCCCCGTTAGCAGTGGCTGTAGCTATTGGCGAGGAAACGCCCACGGGAATGCAGGACAGTGACCGGCTCTTCGTGCAGCAGGGAGAGGGGAGAGACCGGATGGGGCAGCTAGAGCAATCAGTGGGGAGGGAGGTTCCGGGCACCCAGCCTTACCCAGCTCCATTCCCTGCAGCACCCCGGGGCAGTGACTTTCCTGGGAGAGGGGAGGGGCAGGGAGAGGAAAAGCCAGTTCCTGCCTCTGCCTGGTCCCTGCGCTGCTGAGGGAATGGGCTGTTCTAGGGACAGTGTCGGGGGATCCCCCAAAGTGGATCCTTTGATTCTACTCTTTTCTGGCGTTTGGCTCAGAGACTCTTTTCCAGGGAGAGTGTAATAGCGTCTGGTGGGTTTAGTCCTGGGGGAGAGGTCGGGTCTGTGCTGTAATAGCGTCACTGAGGCTTCTCCCAGCATGGCAGAGTCTAGAGTATCTGTCTACAGGGACAGAGCCTGGGGGAATCGGGGTGTGAAATGGACTAACACTCATTCAGAAACCTCCCAAACTTCCCTTCTCACCCTGACAAGCTGCAGAATAATGACCCCGTTTTGCTCCAGACCGTCCCATCTTCCTAGGGGCCGGGGAAGGGAAATGGCTGTGGTGGATCCAGCTCAGGTAGGAGATTTTGGGGGAGTTGCTGGGGAGGGTTGTTGTAAAGGGGGAGGGTCATGAAATCATAGAGTTCACAGTTCTAAGGAAGGGTAGAAGGGAGTACAGCAAAATAGAGACAATGGATTTCAGGAAGGCGGATTTTGGTAAGCTCAGAGAGCTAAGAGGTAAGGTCCCATGGGAATCAAGACTGAGGGGAAAAACAACTGAGGAGAGTTGGCAGTTTTTCAAAGGGACACTATTAAGGGCCCAAAAGCAAGCTATTCCACTGAGTAGGAAAGATAGGAAATGTGGCAAAAGACCTCCTTGGCTTAACCACGAGATCTTGCATGATCTAAAAAATAAAAGGAATCATATAAAAAATGGAAACTAGGACAGATTACAAAGGATAAATATAGGCAAACAAT